CCCCAAAACCCCAAAACCCCAAAACCCCATATTTCAACATCAAATATTAATATTGGTCAAATTAAAAAAATGATTGAGTATTTATATCAATTCATTCAGAGTAATGGCTTTTCATCATTAAATTTTGCTAGATTATGTAAAAGAAATTGAATAAAGTCCTCTTTATTTAAGATGCTTTGGGAATTTTTTTCCATTTCAAGCAATACCTTCGTTATCTAAGAAATGTTGTACTATTTCAAAATAGGAATCAAATTATCAATTGTTTGCTTGAATACTTTATTCTAAAAAGTAGTGTATACTATATTTCTTCCAGCTAAAGATGCAGAGAGCCATTAAATGATGAACTTGATCTCTGGACATCCGTTAAAAACCCCACAACCCCAATTACCAGTCACTATCTATTTCTTTTCCAAGTTGTCATGTTCACTGTTTAAATTCTCAAAGATTTTTAATTTTTCTTAGTCTTGGCAATTTATTCCAACAAATCCTGCATATGACTTAATCAACTCCCTAGCAATACATCTTTAGAGAAGCTAATTTGAAAATTATCTGTCAAAAGCAATAGCATCTATGGCAATAAATGTTGTTTCGAGTCTATTCATATCATCAAAGCAGTCTTTATTAAATTCTTAGTTGAAATCTCCAGCATACAATAGATTGTAGCCATAACCGTAATATTTGGAAAATCTCATTGCACCCTTCATGATTATTGCTTCATTTCCAGCCATAACTTAACAAAACAAAGCTGAGACATTCAATTCAGGATATATCAAGAATAATATTTCCTCTTATACACTTCCTAGTGATAATGCACCCCCTCCTATATATTTATTTGCAAAGTCACCTAGCATACTTCTCCTTCCTTAGAAATCTTCAATTCTTAGATTCTCATCAATAAATACATCAGTTAATTATTTTTAAGACTCCAAGAATACTTGAGCATCATATTCAGCTATCCCGAGAGAGTTCCTTGAGATACTGATACGACGAACTATGTCTGGTGATGCTTCTAGCCTATCTATGGCTTTCTTAAAATAATTGAACAGGAACTTCAATTTTTGTTGCAATATTGGATCATCTCTGTATATGTAATACAAAAAGTTGCAAGAATTGTATTTATCATCTATCTTAATAGTAGTGCAGAAGAACATGTGACTCATGAAATAAAGTACTTAAGAATTGGTCAATAATATTTCTTAAAATCTCTCATTTTTGCTCTTGGTCAATACATTAATCTCGAAATCTTAGGGAAAATACTGTTATTTGTTTAGAGCAATATAAGCTAATTTACTTAATAGAAGAGATGACTCTGTTTCAAGCTTTTGGAAAAATTCCTTAAAGTTTTTTATAAAATGCCTAATTCCAACTAGATTTACCTCTCTATTGTCACCATATTGCAATTAAACTAAGCTTTCTAAACTTTACAACTTTATTTAGATATCTTAAGACCATTAGATTTTTTCCAATAATTCCTTTTTTACACCCCAATCAGAAGCAGACTCTGGAAAAGGGTATTTTTTCTTTGGCTTTTCATCAATATATTTTTCTTTTTCCTCTTCAGACTACATCTTTTGTGCCTCTTCAGTCTACAACTCTTATTCCTCTTCAGACTACAGCTTCTGTTTCACTTCAGATAACATATTTGGATCTTATTAAGAGTATTCTCCTTCAAATAATTCCTTTTTCTCTTCCTCACAGTTCATTATCTCTGTATCTAGATTGTTTTCCATATAGTTTATTTATTATTTGTTGTCCTAAACTAAATTATATGACTTAAATATATCATTAGAATTGACCAATTGGGGTTTTGGGGTTTTGGGGTTTTGGGG